GGATGTTAAGTTTATCTTCAGTTGACTGAGCTGGGGAGAACAAGTCAGACCAAGGTACTTGTTGAAGAAATTGACCAACACTTGCTATTTTACTGGGTCGTTTATCTCTCATTGTAATTAGTTTGCGTTTGGGCTTAGAGGTTTTATCACGAATTCTAGCCGAGATAAATATAGTTTGATGGTCCGAAAGTGCAAATGCAGGTAAACTACACGGGGGTGAGAAATACTCTGTAAGGTTGGTAAAAATTTGGTCAAGAGTTCTATCTCCTCAAGTAGGGAAGTCAACGACCGGTTTAAGTTGAAAGAGTTTCACAGCAGACTGGAGCAAGGGGAGGAGCGTTTTGTTGAAGTCTCCAGCTAGTACGATTGTGCAATTAGGGTATTTTATCTCTAAGATCTCCAAGGACGATATAAGGTAGTTCTTCATAGTGGCGTCGTCCACGGCTGGAGGTTGATATACTACAGCTACTATGATATTTGAGATACCACGTGGTAAGCGTTTTGGTCGAAGATTAGCCCAAAGAACTTCATGATCACTGTGATTTAGGTCTGCTAAGATGTTACAATGTATTGAATTTTTTACGTACATACATACACCTCCATGAAGCCGGTTGACACAGTCTCTTCTATAAAGTTGATAATGTTTGATATTAATAGAAATATCAGGAACGGTATCACGCAACCAAACTTCAGTGAATAGGGCAATATCGGCATCAACGGTTTTGATGGTATAAGCGATTTCGTCGATTTTTGGAGCAAGCGACATCGTATTGGATAACAGAATTGACGGGACAAAATGTTTTAACGATGGGCAATCATTTTTGATTATTTTAACGGGAATTAGGTTATGAACATTTCGCGTACGATTACCCATTGGGATTCTGGTATGAGGTTTGTGCATACGACGATTGGGGATTATTTTAATAGGTATATTAAAAGTGGCCTTGGCATTAATAGTAACAATTTTCGATCTTAAATTCTTGTCGATTGTTCTAATTCTGTTTTCTGCATTAATTTGTTTACAAGGATCAGGTATTTTCCCCAGTCCAGTGGCTGATTTGAAGAGCAATTCTTCCGAAAATTTTTTCGGTTAAATACAGAGGTATCTATATGTGATATGGGTTGTGGCATATAATTGCATCGCTTCGATTTGACTTGACTAGATCTGATGTTTTTGCGGTTTCGGGTTGATTTCCTTGTAGTTTTTTGGTGTGTTATTCCAGAATTATCAAGGACATCTATCATTCTGTCGGTGTGAGAGTGCTTAGTACGATATTCCTTCAATTGATCATCAAACGATGGGGGCATAGTCGACGGACTGTAATTTTGGTCAATGCCTGTACCGATCTCATCGACTGTGGTGGAATTTCCATTAGGTGAGGATAAGCCGGCATGTTGATCATCCAAAATGGATATGACATTGGGATAGGAATTCGATAGGGTGTTATCAAGGCTAAGAGCCTCTGATGTTATACTGGCTTCCTCAACTGTGACAAAAGATTGTATACATGATTCGTCCTGAAAGTTACAAACTGCAAAAGGATTTAGGCTTTGATGCTGTTGTTGATTAGGTTCTGTTGATGACGGGGTGATGTTAGTTCGGTCAAGTGTTGAAGTTGGCGAGACGCTTGGTTGATCTGAAACCAAGGTTGATCCTTAAATTAATAAAAATAGCATCGTTTTACATTCATATTTTTGAAAGCAGTGAAATTAAACACTTGGAAAAATTGCTGCTGAGAAATAGATGATAATATTAGGGACCACAGCAGTGCTATGTTTGCAGGCAAATTGCTTGACCCCAGTTAACACCATACAAACCAGAACAATAATCACAAATGCAAATATTTAATTTTATTCAGAATTTAATACAGTATAAAATATATTCAATGGCACACCACTCTCATATATATTTTAACCCATTGAATGGAAGCACTCTCCTCCTAACGAATAAAATCGTCTGGCGTTAGACAGAGCAATATAATAATGTAGGACACATTGCCACTTAAAGGGTTAACAGGGTTCATGGGCAGATAGTCTGATTAACCCACTGAGTGGCAGCACTCTCCTGATGAGTAAAATCGTCTGGCGTTAGACAGAGCAACATAATAACATAAGGAACATTGCCATTTAAAGGGTTAACATGGTGCATGGGCATATACTCTGATTAACCCATTGAGTGGCAGCACTCTCCCCGACGAATAAAATCATCTGTCATTAGACAGAGTAAAATAATCTGGCATTAGACAGAGTAAAAATAAAGTGGGGCACATTGCCACTTAAAGGGTTAATAAGGAGATGAACATGTATTGCCTCTTACTGTACCACATCCACCACACAATATTTTCACACTATTTTTCTGTTTTGTCCCCAAAGTATGTTGGATCAGGAGTCCAACCAAAACGTCCCCCCAAGCACTGCCACACAAAGACCACCAACAAACTTGGCTGCCAAAATCCTGAAATCATTAAGGAAAACCATGTATCATGGCAAACTGAGGACACTGTCTTTGGCTGTATTAGAAGACTACCAAATGGGGAAGTGTTGCTGCCCCCTGGTGCTTTTGAGGAGTTGATGGCCGACAGCGAAACTTTGTCAAAAAGTGTGTTAATTGAATAAATTTACTCCAATTATACATAAATGCACATGCTTTAGCAACAGGTCAAAAAGATAGAAGGATTTCGGGTGGGGGGGGGTTACCCCCCAAAAAATTAAATACTAATTGGGATAAATGACAGTAGTGTGATTGAAAATATCAAAATTTCCAGGGGGCTTTGCCCCCTTACCCCATGACTCACCTCCACCCTAAATTTTTGGTGGCACCCCCCAAGCAAAATCTGAAAATCCATCTACTGTTTGCAAAAAGAGACTCATCCGAAACTCAACACTTACATCTTTACAAAAAGGGCAGTTACTGTATCAAGTACCAATGGCACCAATTCAATATATTATACATAATACAATTTATAATATTAGTTGTTCTTAAAGGGATACGGCAATATATTTTTTTATTTTATTTTAAAGAACTTTGTAACTTTTTAACTTAACTTTATTATAACTTTATTATTTTTTTGAAATATTTTGACCTTTGCTTGTCCGCCACCTTGGATTAATTTTTATCTCATTATCGGTGATTTTAGTGAGGTCAAAAGCAGGGTTAGCCATATAAAACTACATCTAAATGATCAAATAACATTTTTTATTTCAAATAGTTACTGAAGTATATGATTTTGGGCTCATAATAACCAATTGCTCTATGGATAAAATTCTTGCGTGACCCTGCTTATGATGTCACATGCATATCCGCCCAAATCCAAGATGGCGGAAAGCTCTCTGATTTGTGATTTTTTCTATTCAAATATCTCAAGAAATAATGTTACACAAAATCGGTAAAAGAGATTTACATATAATTTTAAAAGTTCTTCCAAATGAAATAATAAAAAAATATATTGCCGTATCCCTTTAAATGTTTGCAATACCTGTAGTATCAATGTGAAGCATAAGTGAGTAATTCAGAGAAATGAGAACCAGTCCTCTAATCTCCATTTAGGTTGCAATCTGAAAGAAGAAGTGAGAAAAGTTAAAACCCTAATGTATCAGGAATTCATAATAAATAAAAAGCAACCAATTTATAGCCCAGATGAATTCAAGATATTTTGCCAACAAGCTGGAGCCGATACACCGTTTGACACAATACTATCACATCAGTAACTAGTGCACGGCATTCAAATAACCGTATACAAGCAAACAAACTGAGAGCAGTATAGGCATGATATATAACTTCTGTTATTGTCTAAGTCAGCAATGCAACATGATGCAGATTGATAAGGCACTTTACCTCCGAACAAGTCATGCAAACCAAGAGGCAATTACAACTGAGCATCAGCTTGGAAATACATGTTCCAGAAGATTGGTCAACAACATTCACAAAACATTAACCAACAAACACATGACAGAACTACAAAGGTTTTTTACCGAAGCCATTTCCAAAGAGTGGTTGTTAGTGTTAGTAATTGATGATTATACCACAGTACACACAGTGCGAAGACCAACAAAAAGTATGTTTTCCCATGCCAACAACATGTGTACAATTATCGTAAAAGCATTCAAGCAAATACCTGCTGTAAAATGCCCAACAAAAATAACTGACCTTCACTATCCACATGGAATAATTAAACATCCCATCTGTAACAGCAATGATAACTTCACCATCCGAAATGTCCAAGTTAGCAAACACTTATGCATCAATAATGCCCGATTGGATGACAGATCACTTTGTGAACCCTGACACTGAACTGCACCTAGAAAGATTGCGAACACATGAATATTGTGAAAGTAATTCAGTTCAACAAATGAGAAAAATGGATGATGTGCACCTGGTTGACTTTATTGAACTTGAATTGAAAGGAAAGAGCCATTTCAGATTGCTTATGACGTAGCACTGGCAACTGGCTTGAAGTCATATTTGAAAAAGTTTGTTGTCATTCAGCCAGGGGATTGGCCCTGTCAATTTTATGGCAGACAGTTAATCTATGAGAATACCTATCATTACGATACTCCAAAAAAGGCTCAACCAAAAGAAGATGGAAATAGCCAGGCAAAGACAAACAGTGAAATTACTTACAACTTTGATGATCATGCATACATGTACTCCCGCAATGTCCTTTACAAGCAAACCATGCCATCTTCAGTATATAGCATTCGAAAGCCCATTTCACCTCTTGCTTCAGTGGTCCCCATGATTGGTCCTTTGCACATATCCCTAAACAGTAAAGAACATGTACTATTAAGTTTCTGGCCTTTCTTCAAACAAGTTTATGAACAACTTTTCCCAAACACTAAATTCCCAGAGAAACCAAAACCTTGGCGAATCAACTTGATGCTGGAAATTGTTTATGGTGAATGGGTGTTAATTCGTGCGACAACACTGAAAACATTTTCTCAATCCAAAAATCTGCAATATGGAACACTGCTAAACTTACTGGACAATTATATGCCACTAGTGCTCACCATCTATTCTGTTACATTCAAGTCAAATAATTCCAATGAGTACATCAGTGCAATGGTTCGTATATGGGTTATGTTTGTGTGCCTAAAGCGAAGACACTATAATAAAACACCTATCGTGTGGTTGTCTACCATCAGTCATTGGGGGAAGTGTTTTCCAGACATGTATAATGGAATGAGGAAATGGCAAATCATCTCAGATGAATATCCAGTAGAGAACACCCATAGCATTATCCGAGCCCAGACACAAGATACAGACACAGCTGACAACCTGTCCAATAAAGTCAAAGCAATCTTCCAATCCAAACAGAGTCAAAAAAATTTCCGTATGCATTTCACTCCAGCACAGAAGTTTTCATTCTCGACTGAGCAGCTAGAATTTCTGAAAACAAAAGCTGGAAACATTCTTGCAAACATATTCCAAGCTATTGTGAAGAGTTTCAATTATTCTTTAACACCAAAACCAAAGAACAAAAATAGGACAATAGTGAAAATGCCTCAGCTGTTTGGAGATCAATTGATGAATGAATGTGTTTTACCACTTGGTTTTCACGGCGAAAGGCACCCAGATGAAGATAGCAGATGTGATGCGCCATCTTGCAATGTTAATAGTGATGAAAATTGGAAAGTACTAACTGGTTGCTGGCATTCATTTCACGAATCTTGTCTTTTGGGTACAGAGTGCTGTCCACTTTGTAAAGAAACATTAGACAAAAAACTAAAGGACCTTGGGGAAACAGCGAAAGAGGCGATCATTCCAAGTGTACAACCAAATAAGCCTGCTAACTCATCTGAAGAGATAACAAAGAATGACAAAGATTCCTTTGATAAAATACCACCACTCACCTCAGATCAACAGACCAGCACAGTTAGATCAATAAATGAGAAAATTTCCCAAATACATCCACAGGCACCCAAAAACCACCAAAGCAATAGGCAACATCAAAATCCCAAAGAGCAACCAAAAGAAATCACGACAGCATCAAATATCAATGAACAAGTTGCCAGAATCATCACAAACCAGAGCACCATCGCAAGCTACAGCAACATCACAAACCCCAGCAACATCACAAACCCCCGCACCATTGCAAACCACGGCACCGTCGCAAACCCCAGCACCTTCGCAAACCTCAGCACCATTGCAACCCACAGCACCATCGCAAACCCTGGCACCATCACAAACCTCAGCACCATTGCATACAACAGCACCATCGCAAACCACAGCACCATCGCAAACCACAGCATCATTGCAAACCCCAGCATCATCACAAACCCCACCACCACCAATACCATTAGTCATACATTTAGCCAAGCATCCAGGTGTAACAGAATGGCTTCTGCCTCCACAGATTTCACAGTCGCAACTTTCTGGGCAAGTAACTGGTAGCAATGCATGTACAGTGATATCAGTGCTAGGTGCCTTCAATTTGTCTCGAGAAGCAGTTTTTCCAGAGACTACAACAGAGATAAACAAAGTTGCATGTTACTTTCGTAACATCATGATGAAAGGAAATCATTTATACAACACCTTCAACATAGATCCTCGCAATCCCAACCTTGAAGTCAAGGACGTTTTGATAAAGTTTCCCGGATTAAACATGATCATCAAAGAAGACACAGGATTCTTTTCCCTTGATGATATGATCTCAAAATTCGAAATCCTTCAAGTGACCAATCAGAAGATTGTAGGAGTGCTAATTATTCCACCTGACAAGTCAATTGTCATCTACATGGAAAATGGTAAACTTGCCATGATGGACAGCCATACACATGGTATACATGGTGGCATAATTGCATCATGTTCTTCAGGCGGTGCACGTGATTTTGTTTGGTACATTGCACAAATGGCACATCGTTACTGGAATGCTGGTCTAGCAGGTGCAAATTTCACAATGTTAGAACCATTTTATTAGCATGTCACTGAATCAATGTTTGGGGCAACCTGCAACAATTATATTGACTGTTATTGTGAGTTGGCAAACATGCTGGCAGGAAGTAAACATGCATTCAATGTTAATGCATAAAGTATAATGTTTAAAGGATGAAATTTTATCTTGCGAGCAACATTGCAATATTGTCCCAAAGCAATTTGCAAGCGACAAACAAATGGCAAGTTGAAATTTACAAAAGATTTGTAAACAAAGCCTCTAATTGGACTGTAAGAAAAAGGAAGCTCCAATGCAGTTGCTCAGACTATTTAATTGGCTTCCTTTTTGCTAATAGTCCAATCAGAGCCTTTTTTTAACAAATCCTTTGTGAATTTCAACTTGCAATTTGTTGGCATTGATTGCAAATTGCTCAGAGCAATCTGCTCATAAAAATTGCAATATTGTGGGGCAATATTACAATGTTGCTTGCAAGAGAACATCCAGTTTGACTGTGATCGCCAATTTATTTAATTTGCCCATTCATGGCAGTTATAAACATTGGGCCATTCGATTTAATATGTCCACCCCTGCTATTGAGAGGTCTGGATATCCAGTGGAGGAGGAGGGGGCCTTCATCTTAAATTTTCCAATGGGATAGCTCAACAGATTTTTTTAAAAATACCAACAATTAGGCGTTTTAGTGATATTGAAAAAGGGAAAAGCAATATCCTAAAGGCGTTAGTTTAAACATATCCTCTGGGGTAACTTCCACAAATCACATCCAAGGTGGTTCCAAAATTTTGATATCCTAAGGGGATTATGAAGGCATCCCTCAATCGGGAAGGGGGGGGAGGTGTGTGCCTATATTAAATGGAATGGCCAGTCGATCTTTAAACCTAAATAGTAACTGGTAAGAATTAACAATTGCCTCAAAATATGTCATTTATAACTTCCTCGTCTTTTAAACGTACGTGCGAGCGTACATGTTACGTGCGAGCGTACGTGTTAAATATAACAAAAAAAAGATATTCTTACTGAATTTTGCCGTTAATAAACTGTTTTGAAACGATTCATATGTTTCTTCGTGTTTTATAAAATGAAAAATTGGACTTATATATCAACTGTCCAGAACTTTAATAAGTCTATTTAACTAGTTAACCTAACCTAAAACACGAAAAAACAACTGAAATTTATGTGACCTACTCACCTAGTTCTGGATCGAGAGCTCTTGTGCGTTGACTACAAACATGTTTTATAATCGTCAAGACAATCCATAGCGATCATACGCAGCCGGCCAGTTTTTTTGTACATTTTAACCCCTTCAATGCTTCTTTCATAAATTCCGTTGATATATACATTTAAATCAGAACAAAATAACATTTTAAAACATGAGAACATACCTAACAAAGCATCTAAATATTACAATATACGGTATTGCAAATCGACAAGAAATTGTGTCCACGCAACGCATGGAGTATAGGCCTTCGGTACTCGTGGTCAGCGCCTTGGCATATTATTCTTTTCTGTTAAAACAATACAAAATAACACAAAATAAGTTATTATTTTCTATTTTTACAAGAAACAAGTTTGGAAAAAGGATAAAATACTCTAGCTTGATCTCATATTCCATTTATTTGGATATCCGAATAAAGGAATGTAAAATAATAATTGAATCTTGTGCAAAATTTGATACCAACAGTGGAGTGAACAGATACTATCACCTAAAAATAAAAGCAAACAGAAGTTAAATTTATCATATAATGCTATGAAAAAATCTTAGATACTACAAGCATATAGTGAACACAACTCTTTAACAAACTCACTAAAATAAGTTACGTTATGCTATGATAAGAGGATGGCAATATATGACAACATCAAATGGTACCATCTTCAGTGTCCAAAAAAAGTGCCGCGCACATTTTTCATGGTCACAAAACTGGCATTGCCAACACCGCGGAAAAACGTCTGCGCATGCGTCAACCTTACCTGTAATAGTATTGCGAACTTGATGAGAAGCTGTTCCGAACGTTTCCGAAGGCTCAAAATGGCGGTAAAAAGGAGTAACTTCATTGTGCGTCTTTACAGCCAGATTTCAAGCGCAAAAATAAACATGTCATTCTAAAAACTAGAAATAAATACAGCCAGAAGTTTCAAGAAATTGTATTGTACAAGAACATGAACTAAAGGTGATTGTTGACAAATTTATCGTCTGAAACATTTTGTTTATCAACTAAGCAATGACAATTTCCGAATTTTCGTTTGAGATACATTTCTTTAAAAAAAAACTGTGTCGCCAAATATAAAAAATTTGCTGTTCACAATAATTAAACTTTAGGATTTATTCTACAATTTGAGTGGGCTAAGAAGCTTAACTTTTCGATAGTTTTCTTAACTTTTTAGTTTGAATTTTTGTTTTGAATAATTTTGCAAAAATTTTCGAAGTTGTGTCCGTTAAAATCAACAATTTTTGCATGAATTATATTTCATTCCATACTTTAAATGTCAGGACGCTTTCAATTAATGTCTAGTCTACCCATTTGCTATATTTTCTCGTTTGTTTTACTAATTTTTGACCAATTAATAAGCATGTTTTTGTTTTAGAAATTGATATTCAAATTCCCCACCATATTTTCATAATTTGGTGCATGCGCAGACGTTTTCCGCAGTGTTGCCATTGCCACAAACCCAGGTGAAAAAGCAATTAGAAAAACCTGGTTTTGGGTGATGAGCATAGTCAAATTCTTGACTTATTCAATTTTCTAAATTTTTCCAGGTAAACAGACTCAACATTGAAATAAGCCCCATTCGGGACCTCATAGGGTTCAAAATATTGTGTATGGACCAGATTTTTTTCAATTTTCTGTGATTTACATAACACTAGTTATAATTTAAGGGTCAACCAGTATTGTTCAAGACATATTTCCCTTCCAGAACACACCTTTTCAAAATACTAACCCAAGCATGTCAAAAATAGTGTACATTGACAAGGGCAATTTCAACCCTTTGGCACATTTTTCCCATAGATGATTTTAATTCTAATATAAATATTATAGATAAAAATTTGATTTAAAGTTAGTTTCAAGTGATGAGCATACCCTAAATTTTAAGCTATACCTCAATGAAGATTGGTCATTTCAACATAAACATTGAAATGTGGGTATACTGACAGCTCTATCACACGTGTAGTTTGACATTAGCAGACCTTCTGAAACATTTTAATGAAAGTATAATTCACAAAATTCACATTTTCACTTACTTCTTAACATCTGTTTCAATCCAACTAGCTCTGTAGGCACGAGCAAAATTTTAGTGTTGATGTAAATATCCATTTTGTTCATGTTTCCTCGGTGAAAATATAGTCTATTCCAAAGCTGATTTCGACGTACTTTAGCTTTTCAGAAACCGTTGGCCTTCCTCAGTGAGATTATCAACTGTTTCACAAACATATTTGATAGTAAACAGCTAAAATATTCTCTGAAAGTCTATATTTTTGCTCTTCGACACGAAAATGGAAACTCAAGACGAAATGAGCCACTATTTTTGGTCAGCGTCGACAAATTGCCTACCACTGTTGCCTACCTGTTAGTCCCATAGTTAGTCCCTGGGCCTCTTAAATCAAGAGCGTGCACAGGGGACTAGGGACTAGTCTGCGGTTCGCCCCCAATGGCGGGAAAATGAAAATTATAAAATACTCGGGGTTTTTTTACTGTTTCTGTAGATTGTAGTTATACTGTTTCTCGATGACCTTTCGATGATGATTTACCGTGATAACTTAGTTATCATAACTAAATAAAGTTCAAGTTGGAATTCTTAGTCACTATGTCAAATATAAATGTATTAGCGATTGTTTTTATGGGTATATATTGGTATATAATTCATATAGTTAGGTTAGCTCCAGTCCTCACTCTAAATTTCGATTTTGGCTTCTTTTGGCCGGATTTGGCTACTTTTTACATATCATTTGGCTCTTTCGGGCTCAATCTCGAAACCAGAGCCCGCAATCCTCTGTGGAGGCTTGCTGAGGCTCTGGGAAACACTGGCGCAAATCAGTCTCATTCTCGTACCCAGAGCCCTTCCTACGCGTGTTCAACCGAGCCCGATGAGGGTCTCTGGCCAAATCCATATCAAACTGGCTTCTGGTTGGCCACAACGAAATATATGGTTTATTGTATAAAATATGAATAAAAATCAAGCGCTCCATGAAGCGTTGGTTTCGTTTTGGAGAAAATTGGGAGAAAAGACATTATTAAAGTTGAAAGAACAGCAGTACGAAGCAGTTAGGAAGATTGTTGTTGATAATCGCCCACAAAAGCGGTAGATGTCGCTAATTTTATTTACTTAAATCAATTAGTTGATTGAAATTAATAGGTTGAGAAGTGATGTTCTCATAGCAAAAAGTCAGCATATTTTATGGCAGATGCTCGTCGTATTTCCAAATCAGTGATGTTAATCAAACAAATCTGTGTTACATGTTCAAAGCGGACGTGCCATCTGAAGAGAAAATATTAAAGCCAGCCAGAATATGAAGTTAATTGTGATGACTATTTTCTTCCTAGAAACCGATTTTTTACAATTTTCAAATGATTTGCAGTATAGTATGTCTTATGTATGACTGTTGACTTTTAATAAAACACAATAAAGTCTAAAAATCTGTACAACAGCGACTTAAAATCGAATATAAAATAGTGAGACAATCTCTTGTGAGTCTCGTCTTCGTATCCGTAGCCATTTATACTGCTTTGGCAACGTTTAAGAGAGACATATATACTAAATTTTTATCAACATGCATTGAGAACATCACGTCTTACCTACTAATTGATTTAAATAAATAAAATTAGCGAAACCTACCGCTTTTGTGGGGTTTTCCTGGAGAAAAACTTTCAAAACGAAACAAACAAGAAAACCGAAGTGTTTATCCGCATTTGATGTTGAGCATGCGTAGTGTTTAACCGGATACCATGTTTTTATGGTATCCGGTTATGGATTTGGCCAGAGCCCCTCGTCGGGCTCGGTCGAACGCGCGTAAGAAGGGCTCTGGGTACGAGAATGAAATCGGTCTCTGATTGGTTGTTTTGTCAATTCCCGTATCCATTTCTTTTTACCCGACTGCGCTCATCGCGTTGATGTTTTATTCAACATGGCGGGAAATATGGAAAGAAAAACCATAAATCGTCACTTGTGCATAGCCTGCTCCGCAGGCATCTCACCCGACGAATCGGGTGGTGGGAAAAAGTTTGGTGAGATGCCTGCCATAAATCGACACAAAAATTTGCACTGCGCATACCGGCTCGCGCATGCAAATTTCGACAAACTCAAACTTAGGGGGAGTAGGAAGGGCTTACGGCAAGGAGTGAAGAAAATTTTGTTTTCAACACGATGGCTTACAAGATGAGTAAAACTGTAAAATTTATGAATAATCCTGGTCTTCAACATTGCATATACAAAGGGAACTTTGACTAAGGAGCTGAGAACGTTATCGAGAGTCGACGCAGCGATTTACTGGGATTGTTTAGAGACGAGTGACTTTGCAGAGCAGTGAATTCACGTTGTTGTCGATTCATGTCAAAACATTTATCAAGACAAGGTTTCAATTGAAAGTTTATCGTTGATATATACAAATTTCTATTCTAATTGTTGACGACATTTTATATCATAATAAGCTGAAAGTGCAGTGATTTAGTCGAAATTATAACACGAAAAGGAACGATCGAAAATTGTCAATATATAAATGTAAATTCAACTGTTGACATCTGTGCCTGCGTATTACAGCCAATTGCAGTTGAGCTTGCAGCTTGCATTTTAAACGCATTGTTGCATCGTTCAAAAGTATGCGTTCATGCCTTGGAAACACGCCGTTGCTAGGGGCGTAACGTGAACTTTTGGCGGGAGTTGTTGAACTTCTGAACGGCG